CCCACCCCCCACCCCCAGCCAATCAGAAAGTGCTTCAGAAGTGTCCAGTGGGCCCAGCAAGTAGGCCTTTGCACAGAAATCTCTCAGCTGTGTGTGTGTGTGTGCACGCATATACACACACACTGCAGGGTGGGGATGGGGCTGCTTTTCCAGAATGGAATCGCAAACCAGCAGTCATCCCTAAAGAGCTGACCCAGGCAAACAGAACAGGGTGGAAGGAGAACGCTGCAGGCCAAATCAGAGAGCCAGGCAGCCCCCTCACCCTTTGTGCTGCCCTGTAGTCTGGCCAGCGTCAGGCACAGGGAAGGCTGCTGAGGAGGGGAGGGCAGAGGGAGAGGTGGAGCAGACCTCTGGCCTTTGTTTCCCATCCCTGGGCAGAGGGGCAGCCCTTCCAGACAGGAAATGAGTGGCATAGGAGGGAGGCAGGCTGACTCTGTCACTGGCTGCTGTGTACCCTAAGCAAGTGACTTCATCTTTCTGAGCATTAGTTTCTTCCTCGACAGGTGGGCCTGACCTGTTTCCCAGGATTAATGGAGATGAGGTGGATGAGAGTGTTTGACAAATGGAAAAGGCAGTGAGGCTCACGTGAGGCTGGCATGGCAGCTTGGAACTCGCTGTGTCTAGATCTAAGTTTCCCCAGTCAGCAAGTAGTCAAAAAATATTTTACTGAGCATCTACTATGTGCTGGGTTAAGACTGTGGGCTTAGGGGTCACACTGACCTGGGTTTGAATCCCAGCTCTATCCCTTCCTAGTTGTGTGATCTGACATGCACTTCTTCAATTCAGCAAGCCTCAGTATTCTCACCCATAAAATGGGGATAGTACTAAGGCCCACACCGCTGGATTGCTGGGAGGTTTAAATGAGATGATCTATGTAAATCTCCTAACATAGGCTCTGTTCTTGGTAAAAGCTAATACCTTTTGGCTGTGGTGGTTGTCAGGGGCCAGGGACAGTGTTGACAGACAAATGGTCCCTGCCCTGATGCAACTCACAGGCTGACAGAAAGGACATTTAACTAATATTTACCTGAAGGAGAACTTCCTCATAATGACCTAGATATTTACTTAGGCGCGCACTGGTCCTCACTCTGGAGGGTTTATTTGAGTCTATGTTTCAACCTGGGGCTCCCTGAGTAAGGGCTGCCACCCCACTGCATGTCCCCTGGGGCTGCTGGCCATTTGGGCCAAGGGCAAGGAGGCTTACCTGCCTGCCTTCTCTTGGGTTACACGCCTGCAGTATGACTGGGAACCCGGGGGAGGTGGAGGAGGAGGTGGTGGCAGTCAGGCACTTCCCCTGCTGCTGGATGAGATGGTCACTGAACAGCCATGCCTGCGAGACAGGAGCCAGAACACCAAGTCAGAAAGTACAATGATGGATGGATAGATGGGTGGATAGGTGATAAAGCAAATATACTGTATATTTTGATAGAACTTTCTATAAATAATAGGGTTGGGTGTATGGGTATTCATTGTAAAACTCTTTCAACTTTTCTACATGTTTGAAAATTTTCATAATAAAATATTGGGGTGTGGGGAGCTTAGCTAGAGCTGGCCAGAGAGCAATGGAGGATGTACCAAAGGATGCTGGGGATGGGGGGAAAAGATAGGACATGGGATCAGGGCAGCCAGGGAGCTTTTTCACGGTGGGGCTCTCCATGACCTGCTCTAGTTTTGACGTGGGTACAGCGACACTCATATTTTGCACACATGTGCACACAGAGGAGTCCTGTATGCCCTGCTGCCCGACAGACAAGCTGACCACAGCTGCATCCCAGGAGAGAACTGCGAGTTGTTTGGGCAGCATTTCTCCCTCTGCAAGGAGAGGGTGGGTGGTGCACAGAGGGCAACTGTGTGACAGGCTAGAAAGGGGATGGGACTGTGGCAGGAGCAGACCCAAGAAGCAGAGTGGGGGGGGATGGCTGGCAGGGTCCCTGGGAAAGTGGGTTTGTGAAGGGTGTAGGCAGAAAGAGGATGAGGACGAGCAGAGGAAAGCTTACCCCACTCTGGGTCCTAAGCAGCTTACCTGGGGCGCTGGGGGGTTCTTGGCAGACCCTCTGCAGATGCCCACTCCCAGCAGGAAGTTACCAGCAGTGTCCTGGCCCTGGGATTCTAAGCAGTTAACCCCCTGCTTAATGATGCCAGGGAGCACTTCCTTTACCGGGACCCTGAGAGAAAAGGCAGCGGTCAGGCTTGTCCTCCGCCCTCCGCAGGCTTACCCACGCTTACCCAGAGGGCAGTCGCAGTCCACTCCGGGGGCACCAAGGTCTCTGTGGGGGGCAGGCCTAGCTAGGGGTGATGCAAGGGGGCAGGGATTCCTCTGGGAAGACGGCCTCGGTCCCACTCAGTTTTGAGCAGCTCCAGGAGTCCCAGGGACTGCCCTGGAGGCCAGGCCTGAGAGGACCCTGGGGGCAGAGCTCAGACCAGAAACCCAGGACTCCCCAGTCCAGACAGAGGAAAGCCTAGGTAGGGGCTAGAGCGTGAGTGTGGCTCAATAAGCAATCTCAGAACGACAGGGACGAGGTCCTATGAAGAGGCAAATGTAGAACACACAAATATGAAAATGTGTTCAATTTTACTAACAAAGAAATACGTATTAGAGAGTTACCACTGTTTGTTTACCAATATGTGTGTGTGTGTGTGTGTGTGTGTGTGTGTATATATATATATATAATTTATAATGTGTGTATGTATATGTATATATATGTACATATAAATCAGTTCCCAGTTTTGGCACTAGCTGCGGGATTGGAGCTTCTCATACTCTACCAGTGAGAGCATAGATAGGCCCAACTTTTCTCTAAGGCAATGTGTCATTATGTATCAAAGGCCTTAAAAATGTGTCCACCTTTGACCTAACCATCCCACATCCGAGAACTTACTGTCCTATGGCAACACATAATTGTAGATGTGAGTAGAGACTTCATTTAAAAGGTATTCATCTCAGAGTGACTGATTATACTGAAAACATTGGAAATTCCTACGGATCCAACAACAGGAGATGGACTAAGTAAATTCCAATTGTCTGCAGGATGGGAAACCTTTAGCCATGAAAAAGGACTCTGTGCAAGAATAGCTGGTAATGTGGGGAAGTGTTCCCAACATACTGTTAAGTAAAACAGGCATGTTTCAAAACACTATTATTAAAACACATTATATGCACAGGAAAATATGCTTAAACACACACACACACACACCACACACGACATAAGACACTCTCTTACCCTGTAGGTAATAAACCCAAGGAGGCTGCCAGCTCCAGCCAACGCAGGCATGTATAACTGGGTTTAGAAGCTTACACAAGCTCTTGGAGGGAACCAGGAAGGCTTAGACTCTGACCATGTGACTCATCTTATCTGCCTCCTGTTACCTCTGTCGGGAAAACTTGGGCTGCGGGGTAGAGTGGCAGGAGGGCGTCAGAACATTTCTGGCATTCTTTGATGTGGACATCCTGCAGGATCTCTGCCAAACCAGGTCTTCCTTCCTTAGGGCTGGTTTGAAGTCCCCGGAACCCCCAAACTAACCCGCTCTCACGAAGCCTCGGGGAGACACCTTCATCTTCTCTCCCACACTCCTGGCAGTACCATGCCCCTCCAGCTCCCCCTTGAGAGGTCAAGCCGTTCTAGAGCAGAGGTTGCAAACTGTTGGCCCCCATACTGAATCTGGCCTAGTACACATTTTGTCTGACCAGCGTGGTGTGGTGGTTGGTGCTTTTCATTAGTTGGCACTATTTAAAAATTTCAAGGTTACACATAAAAAAATCTGATTCCACCTTCTCTTGAAAAAACAGAAAGATCAGGCCACACTGAGCTTGCATTCCAGCATGGCACTAACATTGTGAGTAGCAGCTACTCCTCTGGGTGGGGCTTTTGCATACCAGTTTGCCGCAGTCCCCTCAGCTCCCTACTGCTCATCCTCACCCATTTGAGTCATTTACATTACATGTCTGATCACTGTAGGATCTGAGTTTGCAATCCCTGCCAGGTCCAAGGGTGATGGAAGGCAATAGCTTCACCCACTGTGCTTCAACCAGAGGCAATGAGTTATGGTGCCCCCTCTCTACAGAGACAAGATGCCTACTTAGGCCTCTCCGAGAAGTGTGCTCTGGGGAATGCAGTCCAAGGGTTCCAGGCCCTTCTATCCGCTTCCTCTCCCTACCTCCTGTTGCTTAGGGAGCTGTGACATGTGATCAGCTTTCAGAGGTGAGGTGGGCACTGTCCAAGTGTGGAACCAGAGGCCTACCCACTGATGCTCACGGAGGAACCCTGGGGCTTGGGCAGCTATCCCCAGAACAGGGGCAGCTCCTGAGGTGTCTGTGTGGTAGCAGCCCTGGCGCAGTTGGGACGGGGCCATCACCACTGTTCTTTAGCTCCCTGGCAGAGCCGGGCTAAGCTGGCCCATCTGTTAACAGTCCTTTTCAGTCTGTATCTGCTTCCCTCCCTATTGAGTCCTCCAAGCTGGGCTGCCATTACCCCTATTATAATGCAATAGGTGCCCCTTCCTCAGGACGCTTGACTTCCACCTGTTAGAAAATTGTCATAATATGCTGGCTTTGTTAGAAGAAAACTTTCCTTGCCATCTGCCAGGAATTGTTGTAAGGTATGATACCTATTGTGTGATTAGCACCCTCCAAATGTATTATGCTTGTACAATGCACAGTCTGCCCAAAACTGTTCCTGACCATCCTAATAAAAGCAATACATTAGAAGTTGCTGAGACCAGCTGCAGAACTGATCTGGATAAGGGGCACGGCTGTGAGGATTGCGAGCAGGCCTAGGAAAGCGAAAGGCTCTTCCTTTAGCCTCCTCAGTCTCCCCACTGACCACCTGGAAGTGTGGGCCAATTATTAGGATCCCCCGTTTGGAAAAGAGCTGGTATCATTTGGGCCAATGGTCTCCTTTCTATCCAACAACCTGGTCCACTCCTGGGAGCTGAGGCAGAATATGAACAAGTGGTCAGGGGATGAATAACCTGGATGTGAAGCGGGTGTGCGGTTTCTATCAAAAAATCACTTCTTTTTTTTTTAACTTTCACACAATGACAGATCAAACAGAAGGTGACTCAGGCTCCTGGTTTAACATAGCTGGTTTTATCCAGTCTCTTGCCTTGGGATCGATTGATCCAGTTTTCTGATAGTTATAAAATACTTCTTTCTCTTGGTCTTCGGGGGATGGTGTGGTCCCTTCTGCAAGGGGACTGGGATACCGAAAGAAAGGACACGTTCTCGGTACCCCCAACATCTCCTCTGGGTTTCCCAGCTCCTGCCTGAGGCCTGAGGTCTATGGCTCCATCCAAATGTTGTGGGAACTATGACAGAATGTAAAGAAATGACTTTTTCCCTCAGAAATGATATGTCTGAATGAAACTGTCCCCTTAAAAGTGGTCACTTGAGGAAGTTGTTCATTTGTTAAACTTCTATAAAGTAATGTTCTTCCCTTCACAGCTATTGTCCGGGGAGCTTGGGGTTATCCAGGCCGCTAGCTTTCTTCCGAAGATGCTGCCTTTGCTCAAATTGTTTTGTAACTCCTTAGAAATTGCTCCCAGCATCAGTTTATTCTTGTCACTTGTCTCAGTCTTGTCACATTGTATTCGGGACCCAGGATTATATTATCTGGGTTAATCATCTAGTTTATTCATTGGTCTTGGTTACAATATAACTATGGTTGTTTTCCAAGAATCCAATCTGCCCTCGAATGACAAAGATTTGCCTCCTTCAAGGATATGTAGGCTCTGAGGAGTGTGGAATGTTCTGGAAAGCCATGGCAGCATCCTCAGGACAAAGTTGGCAGCAGTGAGATACTCTGTTTCCCAACGTGACAGCTATAGAAGGGACAGTGCTAATTTTGAAGGTATTAGTGAGGCTTATTGCCTATGTAATCTATTCAGTCAAAAATATTTATTGAGTGCCCATTTTGTGACAGGCACTGTTCTAGAGGCTGTGAACAAAACAGATAAAACACCTCTACCCTCCTGGAGCTTGCTGTCAATTGCAGGGAGATGACCACAGAATTAGCCGGACAAATGTATGGTAGATGACGATAAGGGCAACAGAGGAATGCTGGGAACAGGGTGGTCTGCAAATTTAGAGTGTTCAGGGGCGGTCTCCCCGGGAAGGGAACACATGAGCAAGACCTCAAGGAGGTGAGGAAATGAGCCATGTGGATGTAGCCAAGACACTGAAAAGGATTTTCAGATAAGAAAAAAGTCCTCTCCGCCCCACTGTGGACATTATAGCTGGTCACCCGCAGTCCTATTTCACATACACACATTCACCTGCATCGCAGCTCTAGTGCACAGGCCATTTGCAGGTTGCTTCCTCATTTGCTAGAGCAAACATTTCCCCACGCTTTTCCGCAGTCTTTATGATTATAATATTAATGGGTGCATAATATTTGTTTAGATCGCTGAAAGTGATTCACGAAACCCAACCCCTACTGTTGGTGGTTTCTCGATTTTTTTTTCCAGCTGCAGAGAAGCCTACAGTGAATATCTACTTGTTAACAGGTTTTTTGTTGTTGTTGTTGCTTCATTTCCTTAGAAGGCAGAGAACAGAGTCAAGGGGGATGATGATTTCTGTGGCCTTTGCTACCTAATGCAGTGTTATTTTCCTAAGGGGACAATGTCTATTTCTAGCTCAAAAGACCCAGTCTGTTAAAAATTTGGTTCCTACCACAGGCCATTTTTAACTCCTGGTAACGTCCTCCTGGTTCCCTGGGAGTCTTTCACACGAAGATAAACAGCAATAGCTAGAAAGAGCCAGACTGCCTAAGATGGGGAGATCTCGGGGTGGGAGGGTTGGGAGGACCCCCCACCCAGGCCAGACACAACTCTGAGGGCTGCACTCACGTCAGCTCTGGGTAGACGTTATCCAGGTACCAGCGGAAGGACTTGCAGTTCATCTTCTTCCTCTGCTCGATCCTTGTGGCCACACTGAAAGAGGAGGCCAAGCTCAGGCTTTGGCCAGCAGGCGAGGGAGGAAGCCCCAGGGAGGATGGCAGGGGCCCCTTCCCAGGCTCCAGGAGGCCGGTCCCCTCTTTCCACCTAGCCCAGGAGGGCCAGAGCCAGGAGACTGGGTCCGAGCCTGCCTCCAGCCTTGGCCACCTGCCTGCAGTCATTCTCTAACCGGCAACTGGCCATTCCTCCTTTCTCTCCTTTTCCTGCTTTGCCTTTCAGGATCAGCCCAGCCGGCAGAGGACCACGCTTTATTCTCCTTCTCATTCCTTGGGAACTCAGTTAGCATGCCACTACCTGGTCCTTATTTCCACAGGGAGCAGACCCTTAATGAACTAGAAGTTTTCCTTTCCTTCATTGCAGTTTAGCAGAAAGGGTCTAACAACAAGAAGAACAGGCTTTAAAGGTCTTTCAGGAATTCTGGCAAATCGGATCCATCCGATGTATCGGTGGACACCGCAGTTTGACCGCCTCACCTCCCTCAGCCACACTGACCATAATGGCCGCTGACAGAGGCCCCTCATTGCCTCCCTGAGCCTCAGTTTCTTCTCCAGGAAACTGAAGACATGATCACCTACCTCAGGAGGTTTCTGTGAGAGTCAGATACATTAAGGAACATAAGCGCCTTATTACAGAGTAGGTCCTCAGTAATGTTAAGTCCCCACTAAAAGAAATAAGGACATCTTTTTTGTTTTAAGGGATAGATATGAGTAAATAGAGGAGGAAAGATTCACTGATGATCATCATAATGTTTTCAAACTTTTCTGACCACAATCTTAAGTAAGAAATAAACACATCTTACATTGTGATAGAGTATACCCATGTACATATATAGGTAGACGCACATAAACGTATAACTGAAATAAGAGTTTCACAAAACTGTGAAAAATACTGCCCTTCACTGCAACTAACTTAGTTTCTATTCTGTTCTGTACTAACCTATAGTCTTCTAGTTCTCTATCACTTTTTAAAATGCTCATCACAATCCACAAAGTTGATTTCATTACCAATCTGCATTTTGAAAATGCCTAACTAGACTGTAGTCATAGCAGTCCGGGACAGCAAAATAGGCTAACAGATCACAGTCAGATTTTGAACAACAGGGGGTGGAAGCAAAACCCCAAGTGTTTTCTGCAGGCAGCTCATCCCTAAGTACTCCCACGGATGTCCCTTTTCCTGCAGGCAGCTTGCGAACAGAAACTCTTTTTCACAGACAAGCCTCTCTGGCTATTTCTCCCCATGGGGCTGCACGCCCCTCAAGGACCAGGGCCTTGCCTCCTCACTGCACACTCAGGGGGGCTCCAAAGAGCCCAGTGGGTGGGGCTCAGCTACTAAGGAGACAGCGAGCACTTCCCTGAGTACACAACATTTTCTGTTCTGCTAAGGTTGTGCTAACGTGTGTGGAGGAGGGAGGCAAACAGGGCTGGTGGAAGGGCCCACCTGCCAAAGGCCTTCCCGATGGCCGAGGGCCGGGCCTCATAGTAATATTGCTTGTATTCGTCCATCCACACCTCTGCAGTGCGCTTGGTATTCCTAAAAGGGGAGGAAGGAACAAAAGAAGGTCACCAGGGGGCGTGACAGGGGTAGGGTTAGGATCAAGATCAGCTCTGTTCAAAAATGAGAACATGGGGCGATGAAAATTTCAGGAGTGTATACAGAACAAGGCTGATTAGGGTGGTATAAATGTGTACAATCTTTGTGGAGGACAATCTGTCCGTATCTATCAGCTTTGTCAGTATGTATATATACTCCTTGACGCTACACTTCCAGGAATCTGTTCTACCACTAGACCTGCATGTGGGCAGTAAGGACATGTACAAGAATGTGTGTTTAGTGAAACATTGGCAATAACCTACATGTCCATCAATAGAGGATAATGAACTACTTCCAAGTGATGGAGTAACAGGCAACCTTGAAAAACACTGCCATGGTTAATATGTACCAACATGGAAGGATGTCTAAGATTTATTTAGTGTTGAGTGGCAGAAAGGCATGCTGCAGAAAAAACTTATGGCATGACCCCATTTATATAAAAACACAAACCCATGGTGTGTGCATCTCTCTATATACATAAACCGTATATATGAAAATGTATTAAAGGCCTGTAGCTGGGGACATGAATGGGCAGACACTGACCAAGTCATGGTCAGGATATGACATCTATGACCAGTACTTGGGGACCAGTGAGTGGAGGGAAGCTCCCAGTGGGTCATTTGGCCAGTTTTCCAAGACCCTCAAGGACCAAGACAGTCAAGGCAAGGCAGACCTGGTGTAACACTCCCAACTTCACCCCTGAAAGTACCTGGAATCCAGAATGGGAGACCTGAGAGGGGGGAAATGGGGAAACAGGCCCAGAGTGGTGGGTGGCTGCCCAAAGTCACATGAATACGTGACAGAGCTGGGTCCAGAACCCTAGTGTGCTGGCGCCTAGTCTGGTGCTCTTGGTGCTGTGACCTACCTGATGTAGGTGAGAGCATTGCCCTCAGGGAAGTTGTAGGGGTGCCGTTTCCGGAAGACGTGGCCCACCCGGCTGCAGGGCACGATCTCCAAGCTCCCGCCGCACATCCACACCCTGAAGGAGAGTTCTGCAGGAGATGACAGCATCAGAAGGGGGAAAGAACCCCTCGGCAAGTCCCACTGAATGAAGGTGGGAATCGGCTGGCCTCCCTTCCCTTTGGTGCCTCATTGGAGGCACATGCTGGGGGTGGAGCTCCTGGGCCTGTCGCATGGGTGCGCCTGCTCCTTGCGTGTGCTCCTGACTGCTTACCCCAGGCCTGTGCGCACACACGCCACACACATGCCCCACATCTGAGCCCTGGGAGAGCAGCGGGAAAGCTTTGAAGGAGCCCCAAGACCATGAGTAGAATGAAAACTGAATCAGATGGCAGCATCGTTTCTAGCCGCTGTCCAGAAAGCCTGTGCAGACACGAGCTAAGGAAGAACACATCTGCTCATTGGCCAGTTCTGAGCACCTGCGAGGTTGGAAAACCAGGCACCAACGAGGCCAGGGCCTGCTCCAGCTGGCATCTTCCTGGCTGGCTCCTGGCCTCCCTCTTGGCCCAGCGGTCTGCAAAGACAGGCTGCCGCTGGCCCCTTGAGACATGCTTCCTTTTGATGGTGGTGGTGGAGCTGAGCAAGCTTTTGCAGATGACTGTGGTCCCCAGTAGTATTGGGAGATGAAAAAAGTGACCATTTTGCTTTCCAGAAAGGGACATCACATGCGACCCACTCTATTCTCCAATCAGCAATCGTCACTTCTGGCAAGACCCACCTTGGCAACTGGCTGTCTTCTGGTTTCCTACTTTCTTTCATATTAACCCTACAGGTAGATACCGTGTGACATTGAAACGCCTCCTTCCTGTCCCAGAAAAATCCATAACCCTTGGTTTTATTTGTGTTTAACTTTTAATAAGCAAGACCATTCTGTCATCAGTTCCCTTGGTTCCTTGATCCCTCTTGCCACTCCCCAGTTGGCAGTAAGGACACTTGTGGTTTCTGGCCAGGCCTGGGGGCTCTCACCTGGTGCAGCTGGTCAGGGCCTCCCAGTGACCAGCAAAGTGGGAGTGAAGGAGGCAGGACTAATGCTTACCTCTGGCCAGACTGTGTGCACCAGGTGACTTCTAGATATAGTCCATCTAGAATGTCCAGGACTGAACATTCAGCATATCTGGACCAACTGGCAAGGTTGGCTGTGTTACTGGGCTTCCCTAGGTCCGACTGCAAACTTCGTCAGACCCTTCTTCCAGTCAGGGCTCTGCAGCTGGCTCAGCGACAGAGATTTAGAACTAGTGACAGACCTGGGGACAGGAGGTCTTCATTCTGGTTCTGTTTCTGCCAGACTAACTTCATTATGCTAGTTGTCACTTCATCCCATTCAGCCCATATTGTCCACAACTATTATTACTGTCATTAGTATTAATAACGGCAATAACAATAGCAGTCGTCATCATCCATTTACTGAGCACTTACTATGTGCCATGCTCTTTATATCTGATATCTCATTCTCAGAGCAACCATGTGAAGTTGGTATTATTATCCCCATATTTTTTATAAGGACTGTAGAGCTGAAAGATTTTAGATAACCTCGTCAAGGTCATCCAAACAACTCAGTTGAAGAATTGCAGCCTAGGCTTCACACTTTGTCCAGCAAGCTGCACTGATCAAACCAGATTCTTTAGTTAATTCAGCAAAATGTTAGTGAGCACCTTTTGACTTTACGTCACACACTGTTCTATTGGGTTGTCGGAAAAGTCATGACGCATTTTTGCAACGGAAAACATAGAAAAAAATACGTCATGACTTTTCCGACAACCCAATAGAATCCCTTCCATGCTAGTGGGGCGAGACAAGAACTCAGTACAATAAGAAACAAAAATACAGGTAGATAAGAAAATGGGTAGAATACATAGTCTAGCAGATAGTAATAAATACAATGGAGAAAAATGGAGCTGATAGGGGCCAGAGGAGGGCAAGCAGAGTTGGGATGCAGGGCTATAATTTTAATTAGGCTGATCGGGGAAGTTCTCACTGAAAGGGGAAATTTGAGCTAAGACCTGAGGAAGGTGAGGAATCAAGTCATGTGGCTCTCCAGGGAAGAGCATTCCAGCAGAGGGATCAGCAAGGGCCAAGACCGAGAGGTAAGAGTGCGGCTGGCAAGTTCAAGGCTCAGCAAGGAGGCCAGGCGGCCTGAGCAGAGCGAGGCAGGGCCCAGCTGGTGGTGTGTCTTATAGGGGAAGGGCAGATGACTTTAGCCCTTTGGGTTTTGCTCTGAGGAATGCAGGAGCTCTGGCAGGGTCTTGAGCAGCAGAGTAACATGATCTGACTACATTTTGAAAGGGTCCTTCATGTGACTCCCAAGGTTTTCACATTCGCCACCCCACTCAAGGTAGCCACTGGCTCCTTGAGTTTGGCTTTCTAGGGCGACACAGAAATAAGTCTCAGTTTGGGCATCTCCCTTTCTTCAACAAAGAAACAAAATCAGGGCCGGCTGAGTGGCGCATTGGTTAAGAGCTGGCTTGGGATGCCAGAGGGCCCCGGTTCGGATCCCACATGTGAGGGCCAGTGACACTGCCCTCTGCAGCTAAGATGCTGAACAACAGCTCAACCTGGAGCTGGGCTGACGTGAGTCGCCGGCGACGGCGTAGGCTGCAGCCCCTGTGGCAGTGGGTTGCCATCGGGCTACTGTGTGTAGCCAACAGCCAGCGTGAGCGGCCAGCAGCCGCAGTAAGCGGCCATCCAGAAGCCGGCGACTGATCTGCCTCACCCAGGAAGAGCGCAATGATGGTGCCAACTTGGGCCAGTGAAGCAGCGTCCTCCACAACTAGACTGAAGAACAAAAACAGACAGCAACTTGTCTGTTCCCCTTCCCCCCAATTCCCCAGCGCTGTTCCCATCCCCCAATTACCCAATAAAAATCTTAAAAAAAAAAAAAAAGAAAGAAACAAAATCAAAGGCCCAAACCCACCAGCATCAGCAGTCTCTCGGCTCACAACTATGGCTAGCCTAGAAATTTCTTTGAATTTCTTCAAGAAACAAAACCCTCTCTAGAACCACTCCATAGTTCACCTTTCAAGTTTCCCAACTACTGAGCCCTTGCCTCAGGCAGAGTTTGAAGTGAGCTATTTGATCATTCACTTGTTTCTCTGTCAGTCCCCAGCCTGAAAAAAAAAGAGAGAAGAAAAAGGGAAAAGGCCTCTGGGTGCAAGACAGACCATTAGTTTCCCAGACCGCTAAGCCTTTACAAGAAACCGTCTTTGCTAAAGCTCCCTTCAGGCTGCAGCTGAGGACACAAAGGCTATCACTTAGGCCTAAAACACCATCAAAAGAGGTCAGAATGGAAGGGTCACTGCACCCCAGTTCCCAAATTTACTCTTCTAGATGCCTTCCTGGAAACGGTTTCCAAGAGTAATTTACAAAGGGGAGAAAATCCCATGCCTCTTTCCACGCTGGCTGGTTTTGAGTTGGGATCAGGCCTATTTTAGGCCCTACTAGTCATCTGTGTCCTGCTCAGGGAGGGAGAAGAAAGACCTGCTCCTCACATCTCGGAAACGCAGGATTTGACTTTCATCACATTTCACAACACTTAAGTGGCTCTGGTCAAGGTGCTGCAAACACCTGCTAGATGTGGAGTTTCCTGACTGAAATCAGGATGGCAGTGTCCGCCTCAGTTTTTCCATCTGTCAAATGGGTGAGATACCACCAGCCCTTTTTACTTCGACAGAAACCTGATTAGGGTGAAAAAGGAAACAGTGGGAAAGGGCTCTGTGAAGGGCTGGGTCTACTGCAAGAGCCAGGAGAGGCCTCTGTATGTATAGGCCTTGAAGTGCCTGCCCCCGCCCCTGGAGACCTGCAGGACCCCTTCTCCACCCTGCTCCTTGTCTGGGAGGCTGCCTGTGTGGGCTGCACCACTGGGCTGCCTTCCTGCGGGGGACGGCTCAGCCGGCAGAGGTACCAGCAGGAGGTCAGAGGTGGGAGGGTGAGGTGGGTGTTTATCCCCCAGTACCTTCCACTAGGGCGCTGTGGGCTGGCTCCACGTGCCCCAACACCACAGCTCCTGGCAGGGGGCGTTCCCTCCACGTCTTTCAGACCTAGGGGTGGTGACACCTCCCAGCTGTCACCAGCCTCGCCCGGTACTACGCTATTCCTTGTGGTTCCCTCTGTCTTGCCCACACCATGTAAATAGGCCCTTTAATAAACCCCTTAAATGACTCGTGTCAGGTGTTCCATCTGTATCTGGCCTTTATCTCACCAGAAACTCTGGGAATTCATGGGCTCGTCCCTTTCCTTCCCTTACGGCTTCGGAAGTATTGATAATGGCCGCCAGCACTGTGCCGTGTATTTTAACTCATCATGCCACTTAGTAATCATAACAGCCTTTTGAGGAAACTGAGGTTTAGGGAGGCTTTAACTTGGCTTAGGGCCAAACAACTTGTAGGTGGTAGGGCCAGGATTTGCACCCAGGCCATCTGACCCCATCGCTTACATTTAACTAGTTACCCTCAACTGCATGCACCCCCAGCCTTTCTGGTAGGGAAGCAACCACATGTTTAAGCTGTGGTCCATGTCACAGGCTGTATGTTCTTCCACATACATGTCTAGCCATGTGGCCACAGGCTCGCCCTAACCACCTAACTCTCTTTGTTTACTAGCTGTGTGGCACAGGACAAATTACTTAATCTCTCTGTGCCATAGTTTCATCAGTAAAATGGAGATAATAGTACTTACTTACCTCAGAAGGTCATTGTGAGGATTACGTCCTTAGAACAGGGCCTTGCGCATAGAAAGTGCTCAGGGTTACTCATTATTATTGTTGTTGTTCTTGCTATTATATTTCCCAACTTACCAAAATTCTCTCCACCCCAGATGTCCATCTGGGCATCATACTTTCCCAAGTGGTTAAACCAGGACTTGTCAATCACGAAGATTCCTCCAGCTATGACAGGCGTCCTGGGAGCAAGGAGAGGACAGAGGCAACACGTGAGCATAAGAGGCCAGAAGCCCCTCTAGATGGCCCTAGGATTCCAGGCCACTTGCCCCAGAATCCCCAACTTGCAGAGTCACTGGGGTAGGATGTCTGGCCAGCATCCTGGCCTCTGTCTTCTATGTCCCTGGGGCCCAGAATATTAGCACTTACAGTGTGTACCCTCAGGAGCACCAGCAACTGAAATGGCCCCCCAGCAGCGTCCCAGTCCCCTGACCCACGGAAGGAAGGAGTTCCCCAGAGCTCACAGCAGCTCTGACCTTATGGGCTTGGTGGGGTCTGTCCGGATAATCTTCTGCTCAAGAGGGATCTGCTCCCACTTGAAATGCAGGCTCCAGTCGAATCCTATGGGACAGAGCAGGGTGAGGACGAGGCTTGGGGCAGAGCCCACTGGGTGCAGTTGCCCCCTCACTCTGCTGCCCCTCAGAGACTCCCTGGATCCAAGCCCAGCTCACAAAGGGCCCTGGGCAGTTCATGCAGTCATTCTTTCATTCAGAATGAGACAGGTCCCTGCCCTTGAGGAATTACACTATACTAGATAAGACAGAAACAACAAAGATAAATCAATGAATGGATATGTCAATTGAGAATAAAAGTGCTAAATAAGAAAATAAAGGAGCAGTGTCCAAGCTATTCTAGTAAGGACAGTAAGAAATGGTTCTCTGAGAGGTGAACTTTGAATAGAAAAATGAATGAAGGACTGATCCATGCAGGTATCTGGGGAAAGGAAATTCCAGGCAGGGGAGCAGCAAGTGCAAAGGCCCTGAGGTAACTTCCCAAAGGAGAAATGCCTAGCTCCCTCAAGAATCCCACTCAACTCCAAGATCTAATGAACGGTTATGTACATTTATTGGAAGTCCAATCCTCAAATACAAAATCCACTCTGTCCAGTAGCTCCCAGCAATAGATTCGCTAGAGCAGCCTGTCTAATAGAACTTTCTGCAATGATGGACATGTTCTATAACTGCTCTGTCCAATATGGTAGACACCAGTTACATGTGGTTACTGAGCACTTAAGTGTGGCTGGTGCAACTAAGGAATGGAATTTTAAATTTTATTTAACTTTAATTAATTTAAATTTAAATAGTCAAATGTGGTTATTGTCTACTGTATTAGACAGTACAGTTCTAAAGGTTAGACGAGAGCTGTCCAAAAGAGATATAATATGAACCAGAAATGCAAGCCACATATGTAATTTAAATTTTTCTACTAGCCATATCAAAAAGTAACAAGAACATATGAAATTAATTTGAATAATACATTTTTAACAAAATACATCCAAAATATCATTTCAACATGTAATCAATATAAAAAATTATTAATGAGATATTTTACATTCTTTCATACTAAATCTTTGAAACCTGATGTGCACTTTATACTTACAGCACATCTCAATTGAGACTAGTCACATGTCAAGAGTGCAATAGCCAAATATGGCCCATAGCTGCTGTGTCAGACCGTTTCCAGGCGTTCCATGTTAGGAATTCATGCAAGGTTGAGGCCTCCTTTCCCCCACCCCCAAGATAGCTATCATATCATATCCTTATGCCAGGCCCTGGCCTGGTCCCTGGGCTGGCAGCATTTGGAAAGGACGTATCAGTGTTTGAGGGGAGGGAAAGACTAGCTTGGCTCTGCCACTGATTGTGCCAGGAGCCTGCAACTGCTGCTTCTGGCCTTTGTCCGCAGCCTCAGGACTCCATGTGATCCCTTCTAATTTTCTGGAGGTAAGAGAGGTGTGTGTGTGGTGGGGGGGCGTGAGATGCTCAGGCACAGCTGAGAAGAAGAGCACCAAGCCAGGGCTGTTGCCTGCCCTCACCTGCCTCCTTTCTGGTCTAGAGCCCCTCCCTTGGGAGCAAGACCCACCTCCGCGAAGGTCAGCAGATGCAGCAAGGTAGGCGAAATTATCCAAACTGATGACATCGATGATGGGGCTCACCACGCGGGTGTGGTCCTAGGAGAGGACATGTGAGATGGTGTGAGGCCAGGGACTTTGTGGAAAAAGGCCCAGCTGCCTGCTCTGGAAGGAAGGTCTCTCCGAGGCATGGGGCACTCAGCATTTGCTGCAGGACAGGTCAGGGTCCCGGGAGATTTATCACCACATCTAAGCTCTTGGAAGGTCCCACCTGGGTCCCATGGACACAATCCTCTCCCAGCCTCTTCCTCTAACATCATGTTGAGCCCTGCTGGGATCTCACCTCCTCAGTGAAGCTTTCCCTGATTGCCTCGGGCTGAGGATTTCTTCCTCTTTTAAGCTGCTCTCACAGTTACAGTCTAGACAATTCCTGGGACAGTGAATTATATGCTGCCTGAGGTTGTTCTTCTGTTGCTGGTTTGAACTGTTGTTTTATTAGTTGTTGCCTACTGTTGTACATGTCTGGGTTGAGTCTTCCCATCGGGGCCACCAGCAGCTTGAGGACAGGCATCCTGCGGTCCTTAAGTAACCTGAGTGTTGCTCCTCTCATGTCACATTTGCTTCAAGGTCAGATTCACTATTCCCTTCATCACCTCCCAGACACAAATCCACCTCCAAAACTCTGCTGGGTAATGTCGATTTTACTGAAGTTTTTTGTTTGTTTGTTTGTTTTGGGGGGCAGGTGGTGGTGCTGGTGGATTATGTCACATACCACATGCGAAACTTACTTGCCCTCCACCAGCCCTCTCTTTTTCTCCCTCCGTGGAGGGACACGGGAGAGAGCCTCTTCTTTCCCTCCTTTCCACACACTCTGAGCTCACCCTCAAAATCCTTTTATCTGCAACTTGGACTCTAGCTCTGTCCCTCAGTTCACACCCCATCTCAGGACAACAAAAGACTGGGAGGTCGAGGATCAGGGGACACCATCCATGGTTTCTCTGTGGGGGCCTCACATTATCCTTTTCATAGACTTTTTTGATATTGAGATATAATTCACATTTTATAACAATTTTATTAGCTATAATTGATGCACCATAAAGTTTACCATTTTAAAGTGTACAGTTCCGTGGTTTTTAGTATAGTCACACGGTTGTGCAACCATCACAACTAATTCCAGAACATTTTCATCGCCCCAGCAGAAACCTTGTACCCATTAGCAGTAGCTTGCTATTACCCTTTCCCCTAGCCCCTGGCAACCACTAATTTACTTTCTATTTCTATGGATTTGTTTATTCTGGACATTTCATATAAATGGAATCATATAATATGTGGTCTTTAGTGACAGGTTTCTTTCACTTAGCATAAGGTTGTCAAAGTTTGTCCATGTTGTAGCATGTATCAGTACTTCATCCCTTTTTATGGCTGAATAATGTTACATTGTATAGATCTATCACATGTTGTTTACCCATTCATTGGTTGATAGACATTTGGGTTGTTTCCATGTTTTGGCTATTCTGGATAATACTGTTCTGAACACTTGTGTATAAGTTTTTATTTGGAGTATGTTTTCATTTCTCTTGGGTATATATCTAGCAGTGGAATTTCTGGGTCATATGGTAACTCTTTTAACTTTTGAGGAACTGCCAGACTGGTTTCCAAAGGGCTGCACCACTTGACGTTCCCACCAACAATGTATGAAGGCTCCTATTTATTCACATCCTCACCAGCACTTGTTACTGTCCATCCTTCCGATTATAGCCATCCTAGTAGGTGTCAAGTAGTATCTCGTGGATTTTCCCCCTGGCATTTCCTTAATGACTTAGTAATGTTGAACATCTTTTCATGTGTGTGTTGGCCATTTGTGTATTTTCCTTGAAGAAATGTCCATTCAAATCCTTTGCCCATTTTTAAATTGGGATATTTGTCTTTTTATAGTTGAGCTGTAATCACCTCATTCTTTCCTCCATCTGTCCAAATCCTCCCCATTCTAGAGAACAGCAGGCATGTGGTAGGGCCCCCGCCCCCCTCCCTTCTTGAGAATCCTCTTCTCCCTCCCCCTGGCTTCCTAGCCTAACCTAAAGCCCTCCCTGCCCCCCAGCACAGGACCCTGCTTCTCCCAGGAGGAAAACAATAGCATCCATTCATAGTAGGAGCTTCATAGCTCACCCAGGCTTTCATCCAATTTAATTCTCAAAACAACCAGGTGGGACGAGTATTAACTCATAATTATCCCCATTTTCAGATGAGAAATGAGGTGAAGTCACTCAGGAGCTAGCAGATCATTCTGACTCCTACTTTGCCTGCCCAACATCAAAGATGGTTCCTATGCCCTCATGCCAAGAATGTGATGGGCACATCCCTAAGGACAGAGCTCCCCCAGGGACAGACAGACTCACCTCCTTCACCCGCTGCAGCATGGGCTGCAGCCACTCGGTGTTCACTTCGCAGTGGCTGTCCAGAAAGGTGAGGACAGCCGCTGAGGCCACATCTGCCCCGCGAACTCGGGACCGGATCAGGCCTGCAGTGGGAGTGGACAGAGGTTGGTGCTGAGCCAGTTTGCCTCCAAGCCATCCCCCCAAAGTCTCAGAGCTCTCCATCCCTTCATGGGCTTAGGTTTCCTCTGAGTTATTATGATTGAATTCTACTTTGTATTTGCTTATTCCCTCTCTCCCTCTCTTTCTCTCATCCATCCATCAACCATCATTACTCCACGGTCATTCTCTGAGTGCCTTCCGTGTGCCAGACACCCTTCTGGGCTCTGGGGACACACTGGTGAACAGTCAGAGTTTAGTGAATGGAAATTGCAATAAATTATGGTTTGATACCAAAGGAGAACCAGAAACCAAAACTCTTCCCCCACCCCTTATTCTCTAGGAACCTCAGGGTGGCCCCCTGCATCCGTCACCATCATGTGTGTCGTGGAAAGAATCTTCTGCATTAGGACAGGGCAGAGTTGGTATGCCAGCTCCTTCCCTCACCTTAAGCATGTTATTTAACCTCTCTGAGCCTCAGTTTCCTTACCTAGAAGATTCAGAGAGAGAATAATCTCTGCCTGTTGGGGAGCGTGCCTGGCGCCCACAAGGCCTATATGTGCTGGATTCTGCTCTGCTCCCACCCCCACCCCCCACAGTCTTGCCCATGGCTCACTGACCATCAAAGAATGGCCTTACTTTTGCCGGCTCCCTGGTCAGGGCAGGGGAATGACCTGGTTAGGAGAAGGGAGGCCCAGCTGGTCCCGCCCCTTACAGAGCAGCCACTGGCATCCTGTAAGCTGTGGGGTCAGGAGGGCCTCACTCTAAGAGCTCGGAATACAAGTTGCTTCTTGGGGAGATTTCCCTGGCCACACCTCTGCCTGGCATTCTGCCTCTATCCATCTGATTAGCCAACCATCTATGCAAAAGTCCATCTGTCCCATCTTTTCACTCCATAGGGTAGCTATAAAGCACCTGATTTAAACCCCCTTAAATTTAATTGCATAAATTTACATCTATGTTAGGCAAAACCCCAGGGAACAATATATTCCCAGACCCATAGGCACCTACAACCCAATAGAGTAAGACCTCACTTAACATCGTAGATAGGTTCTGTGACTTGAAGTGAAATGACATATAACAAAATCAGTTTTACCATAGGCTAATTGATATAAACAAGAGTTAATTCTACAGGATCTTATCAACATTATAATAAACCATGTTATTCGAGGACTTGCCATACATGGAAGAGATTTCTTTCTGTCTTCTTCCATTCCAGTATGTAGGTCCCCTGGGCCTGACTGGTCTTTCTTTTTTTTTAAAGATTTTTTTTTTTTTTTGGTGAATTGCGGGGAGGGGAACCACGTTGGGGAATTGGGGGAAGGGGAACAGACAAGTTGCTGTTGTTTTGTTCTTCAGTCTAGTTGTGGAGGACGTTGCTTCACTGGCCCAAGTTGGCACCATCATTGTGCTCTTCCCGGGGGAGGCAGATCAGTCACCGGCTTCTGGACGGCCGCTCACGGCGGCTGCTGACCCCTCACACTGACTGCTGGCTACACATGGTAGCCCATGGCAACCCACTACCACAGGGGCTGCAGCCTACGCCGTCGCCGGCGACTCACGGCAGCTCAGCTCCAGGTTGAGCTGTTGTTCAGCATCTTAGCTGTAGAGGGCAGTGTCACTGGCCCTCATATGTGGGATCCGAACTGGGGCCCTCTGGCGTCCCAAGCCAGTTCTTAACCACCGCGCCACTCGGCCAGCCCCTGACTGGTCTTTCTTAATTACGCCCATCACATTTCTCTCTCTCAAACCTTCAGTGGCTCCCTACTATCTGCCTTATCAAGTCGAAATGCCTTTCTCTGGCTTCCAAGGTCCTCTGTCATCTACCCTCACTCCACCCATTCCTCCTGCTGACGAGGCCTGGATCCTCCTGGGAAGGGAGAGTACGTAGAAGGAGGTGAATAGGCTGGGTTTTGGGGTGAGCCCCCTCTTCCTGTGACCCCCTGTCTCTACAAGCCCCCTCACGCAATCAAGGCCCACTTCCTGATCGCTCCCTCTCCTCTGATCTCCTTTCTACTGTATAATTACAAGCAGCCTGTTGCTTCGGCAGATTCTGACTCCTTGGCTACATCATTAGCTCTCCAAGGGCAGGGGCTGTGTTTATACTTCTTCTACGTCCCACAGAGTGCCAAGCACTATCTTATGCCATAGTTGATGTGCCATAGCTCCAAAACACCTTTTAGTTGGAAGTGAGGCTTCATCTGCTTTATGCCGCCCTTTGATTCTCTCAAAGTAGTATTTCCACATAGTCTGTCCCATTTAATCCTTACAATAACTGTGCAAAGCAGAAAGGGTACTATGATTATCTCCCTTTCTGAGAAGAAACAACCAACTTGCCTACAGGCATGCTGCATTAGGGGCCAACCTGGGATAGCAGGAAGGTCTTTGCACAGACCTTGGTCCTGGTCACCAGGAATGCAACAGGACCATGCTGGCTTGGTACAACATGGCGCCCAAAGGGAATGGGGAGGTGCAGAGGTCTAGACCAAAGAGGGTCTGCCGTGGCACTCAAGGTCTAAGAGCATACCTTCCCGCCGGTCATTGCGCAGGCACTTGACCTTGGGGATCCTGGTCAGGAGCAGACAGTCTTCAGCTGAAGGTGGAAAAAGGGAAGCTCACTCAGATATGGGAATCAGACCACAAGTGTTTTGGCCACCATTGGCACTGCCCAGGAGCTGTGCCATTCCAGGCCCTGGGAAAGGACTGGGGATAGGGAAGCATGGGGTAGCATCTCTAGCAGCCAAAGGGTTGCCCTGTCCCCCACTCACAGGCCAAACTAAGGTTGCCTATACTTATGGCATTACGCTCAGGGGTGCCAGAGAATACCAGCAAGCACCATTACCAGTCCAAAACCTGTGGAACTAGATTGAAGAGATGATCTTCTGCCCATTGCAGTTGTAATAAGGAAGGTTGTAATAATCATGTTTCAAATTTTTAAAAAATGTCATTTCACTGGTGTCCCATCAAAGCAACACCATTGTTGTCCCTCCTTTGTCACCATGGAACAGTGCCATGGAGGGCACCTAGAAAAGACTGACAATCCAGTGGGGGGCAGAGGTCAGCCTGTGATGGCCAGGACAACCTCACAAGTGCTTGCCTCAGCATTCTGGGGAAATGGGGTTTGGAGGGGTGCAAAAAAAAAGAAGGTGGATACTTACGATCTGAACTGAAGTCATCCACTAAAATGATCTCCTGGATCAGGTTGGCAGGAGTTCGGTTCAGGACACTGGAGCAGTGATGGGGACAGAGCAGCCCAGATTTAGGGGCCAACTTTCATTTACCTCTCCCTGCCATGGGGAACCCCCACCACCCAGCTTGGGGGCCAGCACATTGGCCACCACCAGCTGCTTACAAACCTCCTGGGCTCTGATCAGTGGCTGAGGAGCAGTGTGTTCCTCAGGCTCTTCCAAGGACCCAGCTGACCTCGCTGCCTAGACACTCAGGCACTTGAGACCCACCCCAGATGGGGGGTAGGGTGGGGACGCCCTAGTCTAGTTGTCAAGGCAGGGTCTATAGCTGCTCTGGTTGCTTGCCGGAGAGCCACCCCCAGCTGCATCCGGAGCTGCCTGCCTGGAAAGCTAATGAGGCTCCTTCCGACCTGATGGGTCTGGAGGGGTGTTCTCAGGGAGCCCTTTGACTCTTTTCCTCCCACTGTCCCTCCCCTTCCTCACTCCTTGGGAAAGGAAACCCAAGCTTCTTTAATCCCTGAAATACCACTGGGTGCTCCTTTCCAAATCCTTTCCTTATTATCTAAGTTCATTATAGGAACGGGGTGAGTAGGAGTTAAACTTGACCACAGGGCCAAGCTTAGGAGGACAGAAGGGACACCTCTCTCTGAATCACTGAGAGGCACCTACTGGGCTGGCGTTCATCTTCCTGAGGCTCTATCCATGTCCATCTCTTCCTCTCTCGGTTCCTGATCCCTGCACTTCTGACCTCATCCTGGGGACTTGACCTTGTGTTGGACTGTGCATCTCGCTAACAATTGGACTTCTGGGGTCCCCCTGACCCTGATCCACCAGTCCCAACTTCTCAGAAGGCAGAACTCTCCCTTCCCAGTGCCCACTGGTCTTCACCCCATATGGCCACAGCACCTGGCCTCAACATCCTCCCCTGACAGGGGCTCAGCAAATCACCCTGAGGTCTCGGGGAGCAGTGCCGTTTAGATGAGGGTCCCGAGGCGGGGCTTACCTCTTCACCGTGCGCAGGAGGGTAGAGCGAGCTTCATTGTGGAAGGTGATGATGACACTGGTGGCCGGCAGGTCCACAGAGTAGGACATGGACGGGCAACTGAGAAGGGAGCAGAGAGGTCAGAGGGCAGCGTCCTCAGGGCAGAATGGAGGCTTCTCTTTGTCCAGCCTGCTGCCCCCTGGAATACCTCTGTGGGACAGAGAAGGCAAGCCTGAAGCCAGGAGGTGGGCCTGCCCCTCCACGCCTTCGCTCCACCCCACTCAGGCCACCCAACCTGGAGTCCTTAGGGAGACACCACAGGTTGGGGAACCTTCCCGGGCTAGGAGGCTGTTCACCATAGATCTAAAGCACGGGGAGTCCCCCAGTCCCTGAAGGATTTAGGAGGGCTCTGTGTGTAGGCACTGCACCAGGCTCCAGGACCAGTCGGAACGCCCTGCCTGATGGAGCAGCCAAGAGACAAAATGGAGCGGGGTAGGAAGAGAAAACAGCTTCTCTTTTGTCTCTGACTCCCTGGAGCTGCTTCTTTCTCTTCTCCAGGCTCCTGACATTTGGTGGGATCTGGAGAGGACTCTCCCCCTCCCCCGCCCACCCTACTCTTCTGTGAATTCCTCCTTCTCACTGCCCAACACTAACAGCTGCCTGGTGACACCAGGCAGGGGAGCAGTCTCTCTGGGGCGCCAGGAAAAAACTGAAGCCTCTGAGAAGACACCAAAGGCAGTTCCCACCAGCCCACTCCCTCCCGAGCAGCTCTGTGCTTACCATCTCCAGACACCACATTTTTGGCCCATTGGCTCCCCCTCCTCGGGAAAGGGAATGGAAACAACCCGTTCCTGCCAGCCTTCATCCCTATCTTTCTGTGAAGGCGGTTCTGCACACTCCTGGGGCAGGCAGGAAGGCAGCCGCCACGCTGGTTTTCATGGCAATCTTTTTGATGACAACTGCTCTCTGACTATTCCAGCAGTGACTACTTTTTCATTATGGCATTCATTCCACTCACAGCAGCTTACAGCTGAATTCCCAGGCCCGTTTCCTGCCCTGCAGAGAGGACCAGGTCAGGCAGGCAGGAGGTCCGCCAGCCTTGGAACCCCATGGGAGAAACCCTGAGGGGCTCCAAAATAATTCTCCTTGAGAAGGGATGTGGGGGAGTAAGCACAGCAGGGAAATTCACCACTGCCCCCCTGAAAAGCCAGGCCTCCCAAGGGCCCGCCCTCTCATAGGCATAGAGAATTGGGGTGGGGGTGGGGCAGTGGGGTTGGCCTGCTGAAGTGGGAAGTGCTGGGAGAAGCAGCCACTTCCTGGGTGCCCAGCCATGCCCCCCAACCCACCCAGGTATAGACTTCTAGGGCCCTAAATCTCTGCATCCAACCATCTTGATGCCAGAGGAGTCTGGATTTCGATGCCCATTCTCCACCTGAGGTGACCAACCTACCCACACCTTATCTGGAGGGTGAACTTGACCTCCTCTCATCCCCCCACCCCCGCCGCAACCCTCTTCACTCTGCATTTCTCTGGGGTTCGTATCTATGATGATGGGGATTTATCCAATGGCTGTCAGGAACCAAGAGCCTCTGAAGAGATTTTCCCATGCCTATGTTTTGAGTTTGGGGTTGTGAAGTGCCCCCGGGAGGGGGGCTCCCTAGATTGAGGGTCAGACCAGGGACTAGCCTAAAGGTCAGTGGAAACTGCAGCCTAGAGGGCCAAGGGCAAGAGTATGGCTCACCCCAGCATACCTGGCTCCACCATGGGAGGTCCTGCCCACCAAAGCCAACACGTGCACACAAACGGACACTCGCACATGCACACACACACACACACACACACACACACACACACACACACCCCTGATTTACCATGGGCTTCTGAGAAGGCCAGGCAGCAGCACTGGGGCAGGAGGGGAGGCCTACCTCATCAACACACCACTGCCTTGGATTTAAAGAGTCTCATTTTAAAATGTATATACCCCCAAGAGGAATACTCCTTTAAGTTCCTCAGTGAACACCGGAGAAGGTTCAGAGTGGGGGTGGGTAGGAGGCAGAGTGATCAGGCCAGCCTCTCAATTCACAGAATTGGGTCAGTGAAACCTCTAGGCCCTGGGGTCTAGCTTGGCCACGGTCAGGGCTGCCCATGAAAGGTCTCCAAGTGGAGCCGCACGGATAGAACCTTGCAGGCCCCACAGCTCAGGCAGACATGAGGGGAGACTGCCCCCTGGCTGACTGAGAAAGGATTTCTGGGGCCTGACTGGCTGTTAGACCTGGGTGGGAGCCTTCTGAGGAGCAGGGTTATTGCCTTATTTGGTAGCATGAGTGGTTTCTGGAGGTCAGTGGTGCTGGGGTTAAGGACAGGGATGACAGTCTGGGGATCCCTCAACCGCACATTCACCTCACCTTGCACAGGCCACTAAGCACAGTGGACTTTAGGCACACCTCCATGAGTGACAAGGAAGGTGGGAGAAAGAGGCCCGCTTCTGCACCCTTATCTCACATACATCTTTTGTGCTGTGGAATAGCTGTTTCAGAAGGAAAAGCAATCTTGACCCCAGTCATTCTTGCCTACCCTCAAACCAGCACCAGCATGGCATTGGGTACACAGCTGGGTCCAACACAGCCCATGTTGGCCATTCAATGCTGCAGGCATATGGATGGGTCAGCTCCAACAACCTCTCGCTGCCATGTTAGCTGTCAACCCCAAGTGCAGCGGAGGTCTCCAAACCAGCCTGGGGTGGTAAGGAAGCTTCCCTGGAGGACAGGACACTGAGGGGAGTTGTGAAGATGTGTGTGTTGGGGGAGTAGCAGAGGAAACAGCGTGTGTAAAGATGAGGAGGGAGACAGGAAGAGTCTAGGATTGGGGAGTATTAAATGCTAGGTGAAAAGGAACAGAGGCTCTGAGGGGAGAGGAGGTGACTCGCACTTTAGGCTAAGGAGCTCAGACTGTTCTCGAAGGTGAGGGCAGGAAGAGGAAAGACTGGAGGTGGTGACCTGTATAATCTAGATGTACACAACAAGGGCCTGAACCAAGGAGGGGACTGAAGTCTTGCAAAGTCAGTCACTCACACTGAGCTGGGATTGGCGTGGAAGGCATCTTTGATCCTGGTCATCAGCCTTCTCCACCTACCAGCCTGTAAAAACTAAGAGCAAGACTGGGAAACATTTCTGGAAGTACTGAGCAAGTGAGGGGTCAGGGGGCAACAGGGCAGGAAGGGAGGAAGGAAAGGGATGCCAATGGGGTAGATGCACAACACTCTACTGCTTGCACAGTGTGGGCAGGGCTGGCGGTCCCTCTTCACCTCAGGCACCACCAGCAGGGCACCGAGAACACCTGGCTCGCTCACCCCCTTGGACCTCCCTGCGGTTCCCTGGCAGGTTACTCTCACTTGGACTTCAGACTGTGCTGAGGGGCCTCCCTGGCCCAGGCTGGGGAGGTCTCCTTGGCCTTCTCAGGACCTCAGGAGGTCAATGAGATACAGAGGAGTCAGAAAAACTAAAGATGAGGGTTTGAATCGCAGTGATTAGACCGAGTCTGAGGAAATCTTCCTCATTTCCTAAATCCTGACAGAAAACAGGCTAACAGGTTGGCCTTCCCTCCACCTTTCTTTCTCCATTGACACAATGGAGACCACACCTGTAATGACGAGTGTCCCGGATGGGCCTGTCGGAGCTCAGTTTGTCACTCTCCAGCTGGTTGAAGGCGTGTTGCCTGTAGGGGTCCTCTCCCGCCTTCAGCTGCTTGGCCGCCAGGTATGCCTTCTCATCAAAGCCTCTCGAGGGTGTTCCTGTCACCTGAGACAAAGGTCAGCATCAGAGGGGCAGGAGGATAAAGCAGCTACTGTGTGGTCAGCACCTACGACCAGGCGGGATCCAACTGCAAGACCTCATTTGTACCTGACCCAACTCTGAGCAGGAGATCATCATTTCCCCTAATGTACAGATGAAGAAACTGAGGCTCGAGAACCTAAAAACAGTACCCATGTGTGGGGGGCAGGGACTATTTGGGAACTCTGTACTTTCTGCTCAATTTTGTAAACCTAAAACTGCTCTTAAAAAAATGAAGTCTAGGGGCGGCCGGGTGACTCAGTTGGTTAGAGCGCGTCCTCTGAACAACAAGGTTGCTGTTTCGATTCCCACATGAGATGGTGGGCTGCACACCCCTCCCCCACCCCCCGCAACTAGAATGAAAACGGCAACTGGACGTGGAGCTGAGCTGCACCCTCCACAACTAGTTTGAAGGATAATTTGACTTGGAGCTGATGGGTCCTAGAAAAAACACACTGTTACCCAATAAAAATTAAAAAAAAAAAAATGAAGTCTACTTTTTAAAAAGCCTTAGATCAGAGATAGTAAGTCACAGGTTCTGGGTTCAAATTGGTTTTTTTTAACTGTGAAGCCCATACTCTTGAGCATTGCTCTGTGCTGGATATGGAGAGGGTGACTCTGGAGCGCAGGAGGCCCCCAAAATGAGGTGTCCTGAGGGGATTGCCAAAGGCGCTGGAAGTTGCCAAGCAACCAGCAGAATGACAGTCTCCTAGGGGTAAACCTCGGAGTGACGCTAGGCCAGGCCTGATCAATAAAACACCCAGGGCTTGGACAAACTGCTGCACAGAGAACTACCTGTGAGGACAAGCAGGCCCTCACGGGCTAATTCCAGAGCTGCTAGAAGTCAAGTGCACAGACAGTGATGCATCTTCTCAGGGACTTGTGCTTGCTGCTGAAATAGCCCCATGTCAGACCTACTGGGTTCATTGGTGCTAAGCGCTGGGAAGTGATGGATGACAGCTGCTATGAGCCAGCTTCCCACCTCTTAGTCATAGCCTGCTCCATGCTCCCAAAGTCCCCCATGAAAGACACTGGGGAAGGACACATCTGAGATGAATGGATGGATTCTGACATCTCATTATGTGAACCAAACTGTTGGCCAGATGTTCCCCAGAGTGCCCTGAAATATGATCAACTGTGAGTACCACCTCACTCCAACCCTTCCACCCGACCAGCAGCTGGGCTGGAGCTGTGGGCCTGCAGAGGCAGCAGGAAGGTGGGTAAGACCAGTCCGTGCACAGAACCCCTGTATGAGGACTCTGTCACAGGCCTGGTCCCTAGAGGGATGGTCCTAGTAAGGCAGCTGGGCTTACAGGAGAGGAGACCAAAGTGTTGGGTGATGCTGGGGAACATCCACCAGCAGCCTAGCGCCTCCATGTTCCCCTGAGAGCTCAGCCCCCAACCTCACCAGACAGGAATGCGGAAGGCTCCAGGGGGCACTGATCTCCTTACAGAGTGACACTCTGCTGTGTTCCTACCTCCAGTGGCATCCTGTCTTAGGAGTCAATCCCTGATCTCCCTGGTGTCAGAGCCAGTGAAGGCGATTCCCTCCAGTCCACTGGGCCCAGCCCTGTGCTACACATGCTCAGGGCATCTATGCTCAGGGTGGTGACAATGGCTATAGCTGCCACACTGTGATATTCTGAGTTGGTGCCATGCCAGGGACTGAACAAATGTGGCAGTGCCCCTATGGTCTTGAAACCCATTTAAGGAAAGACAGGAGGGAAAGAATGAGGGAGGGAGAGGGAGAGTGTTCTGACTTGAACCCTGGATTGCTAGAAGGACCCAAGCTGTCCAACTCTGAGAGTGGGGATGAGAGAGATCTTTTGTGCCCTTCGTACCCAGGAAAAGAATGGGTGCTAACTCTGGCCCCTTTTCCTCCCAGCCAAGGGTCAGAGAGATGGAAAGCAGCTTCCAGTTGATGGTTGAGGAGCTAAAATAAAAGGAAAACTGCAGACGCTCCCAAAGGAAAAGTATGCCACTTAATTATCCTTTGAGTCCACTGTGGGAAATAATGGTTATTTATTTAGGACTTATTATGGCCACTCAGGAAACCTCTGAGCCCTCATCCCACACTCACTCATCACCCAATGATGGAGAGCCACCCATTTACCAAGCACTGGGGCACCCTCCTGGGAGTTATAAGGATCACCTAAGCATTCATTCATTTGTTTCTGAATGCTTGAATGCACCCACTCATTCAATTATCCACCCATTCATTCAACAAAACTCCACTGAACACCTCCCATGTGTCAGGAAGTGGAAAGAATGCTTCTGAGACTGTTCCCCTATCCCCAATCTGCCTCCACCTCCTTCAAATCTTCCTCGGGGCCACAGAGAATGTTTTGGAAGAGCATCTGCTCAGGCCAAGGCTCCCTAGAGAAGCTCCTCTCAGGGCCTCAAATCTGAGCTAGGCATCCTCACAGATGCTGCCAGGAAACATTTGTTGCTCCCGCCCATAGTCCCATAACCCATGATGGTCCAGCCCTCCTCCAAGGTTAGACCTTTCACCAGTGAGAAGCCTGTGAAGAAGGGTGCCAGGGAAACACCAGGCCGCCCCCTCCCAGAGGTCTTAGCTCTGCTTTCACGTTGACCCAGCAGTCCCTGGGGTTTGGAACTGAAACATTGGTTGGCCCTGAGTCAGCCAACTGGAGGGATACTGAGGAAGGGTGGGATGTGACCTCTGCAGGGCTGTCACTTCTCCATCCAGCACCCTCCTGGCCTCACCTCAGTCACTGCCCAGAGCTCTTCTTCCTCAGGTATCTACCCCCAGCTCACATGCCCACACCACAGCTCATTCCCTCCCAGCTCTCCAGCTCTCCTTTACTTGGCCCCGGTCTTTCATCTGGAGACTTCAAGGCCTTTGAACGTCCCACGGGTACCTCTAACTCAACACCTAAAAATGAATTCCTCATTGATCCACAAAGCAGCTGCTTCTCCGACGCTGCCTATTGCAGAAATGGGCATTACCATCCTCCGGGTCCCCCAAGCCACAAATCCAAAGGCGTTCCCTGATGCCCTTCCTCATACTCCACAGCCTGACTCAGACCCCTTCCCTGGAAATCCACAGGTGGTGTCCTGGGGCATCCCACTAGCATTAAACGAACAAATAGTGACTGAAAGTCTAATATGTGCAGACACTGTGCAAGAGGCTATGAAGACAGAAATAAACAAAAAGCAGTATGGCCTCCAGAAGAGGAATCTAAGAATCTGGCCCCTTTCCTCCCCCATCCCACAGAAGGCATGGCCATGGAGAATTATGAACAAAACCCCAGCCCCAACCTCAGAGCACAGGTAGCTGAAGAACCGGCCATGGAAGCGTAGCACACTCCAGTCCCAGCTGGGGCAGGAGTCCAGAGTCGGAGCAAAACCACAGGCTGGTGGCCAGTGACGGCTGTTCCCCTTCTACGCTGTCCTAAAGGGGAAGTGTGTTGTTGCTATCCTCTTTTCCCATCATTCTGCTTACTTAGCTTACTGGCATGTGAGGGGTAAATGCATCCTTTGGCTCTAGGCTGAAGGACCATGAGGAGCTATATCTGGATCAGTCTGAGAGCCCTGAGCTCCTGCGCTTGGCGCCACTTGAGGAGTCACTGATGGGATTCACACTGCTGCCCTTTCTGGAGGGGATGAGGGCGCTTGGGGATGATTGTGGAGTTCTTATCTCACATGGCACTGGCATCTCTGTTTTACTTCTTTTTTTTTTTTCTACTAGATGGTAGGCTCCTCATTGAGCTCTCAGCACCTGACACTTAGTAGGTATTCAGCAGGTGTTTACTGAATAAAGGAATGAATGAGTGAGTGAGTGAATGAATACCTAAATATTGTCTCTGCTCTCAACTTACTTATAATCAATTGAGGAGAAAACAGCAAACAAATGGGACCCTCTGCCACATCACATGACTTTTGGTGGCTTTTGCTCTCCCTCAGGGTACAAACCCAGGAGCTCACAGTGATCCAGAAGACTCTGTGAGTGGGTACCCTGTCGCCTGGCTGGACTCAGCTTTCACCACTGCCCCCTCCCTGGCTCTGTTCCAGCCACAGTCTCCTCCTTACATTCCTTGAGCCGGCTGGCACCCTTTCCCTTAGCCCTTTGTCCCTTCTGCCTTCTTTCTGGAAGGTTCCTCTCCCAGATGTCTGCATGGTTCCCTCCTTCATGTCCTGCAGGGCTCTGCTCAAGCCTTGCCTCCTCTGTAAGCCTTCCCCACCACCATCTGTAAAACTGTGGACCCCCCAAGCCCACCCTCTCATTCCCTATCTTCCTGCCCGGCTTTGTTTTTCTTCACAACACTTTGCAACATCTGATGTTCTATGTGTATTTTGCTTATTTATCTCTTTGACTCTTTGTCCCCACCAGGGCACAGATTGTCTGTTTTGTTTAATGTCAGATCCCAAAGCCCAGAGCAGCACCTGGATGGTTATAGGGCTCAAAAACAATGGCTGATGAATATATGAGTGCAGAGCCCTTATGACCTCAAGCATCCATTGCCCCTGCTCCTCGCACAGACTCTTGGGTAACACAACACTTGGAACTGAGGTGGATCAAGGAGGTGGCAGGGTAGTCTCTGCCTATCTTAGGGATTTTCTTGCCCACTCACATGCAGAGCTGTCAATCACTGTCCCCTGTCCCACCAACCTCTCAATCACCACCACAGGCGTAGGCCAAGCCGATCATATCATTGCACCCCCAGACACAGGGATTGGTTCAGGAATGGTCATTTGACTCAATCTGGGCCAATCAGTGTCTTCCCTGAGACTTTCCTATAAGATGAGCTCTTTTCATCAGTCCTGCTGAACTTAGGAGGCGAGAGTATTCTTTCCCATCACATGGAAAAGTCTTGTCTGTGTATGGTAACTATAGCTAATAATAGTGTATTGTATTTGAAAGTTGCTAAGAGAGTAAATCTTAACAGTTCTCATCACAAGAAAAAATATTTGTTTAACTATATGTGGTGATGGATGTTAATTAG